TGCTAATTTACTTAGTCTCTGGAATGTTTAAATTCTGACCTTAGTTTTCTTTCTTAAATTTATAAAGACTAGTCTTTTTAATAAAACATTTCCTTCTATTTGCTATTACTTTTACTAAATGAAGAGAAATACACCTGATTAAACATATTTGCTTTAATAAACTGTTGAATTAAGAATAAAGGTCTAGATAATGAGAAATATGACTGAGATTTTCTTCTCTAATTGTTACGGGAAAAGTGACATGACATGCAAACACACGGGTATATAATGTTCTTGAGAAAAAAATTTTGATCACTTTTGAAAGACTATTTTTCATGGATACTGCTCTGTTCTCAGTATGATTTCATGTAATTTTTGAAAACTCAGGTGTGATCTTTTAACTGAAAAATACACTCTGTTCCTTATTTACACTTTCAGTTTCTCATACCAGAGAAACTATTCGGTATTTACACATGTGTGTCCTATTTATTTCACTTAAGTGTATAGCCTCAATGTGCATCCATTTAGCTATAAATGTCTCTAATATCTCATTCTTTATGGCTGAGCAGTACTCCATTTTATAAAAAAAAAAATCCTCCTTATCCAGTAACCAGTTGATGGGCAATTGGGCTGTTTCGAAGTTTTAGCTATTACAAACTGTGCTGCTATGAACATGGGTGTACATATATCACTGTGGTATGATTCTTTTAATTCTTTTCAGTAGATACCCAGCAGGGGAATATCTGGATCATAATATGGAATAGGAAAATAAGGCCCAAAGGGGAAGGCGAAGTGGGAGGGGTGGGGGAAGGAAAAGGAATAAATATGAGAAAAGGAAAAGACAGAAGCAAGTTTTGAAAATAGGGAGGGGTGGAGGGGTGGAAAGCAGGACAGGAGAATAGGGAAAAAAATAAGAACCAAGATATATCATGTAAAGGTACAAATTCCAAATGATGAATGTCATCACATTGTATACGTAAAATGTACCAATAACAGTAATGAATTAAAAAAATAATATATACGGGTGAAAAATCACAGATCAAAGTTCTTAGTCTAAGCTTATATTGACTATGCTATGAAATTTGCTAAACGACTCATTGAAATTTTCTCATTTACAAAACTAAAACAACATTATCTTAGTACTACAATTTCCAGATTATTTATATTTAATGGTACTTAAGGAAACCAGTGCTTTTCAAACAGTGATCAACTTTAGAGGATAATGGCTAGCCATCAGTAGTAACAATTATATTATGATAATCAAGGACAGCATGTGAACACAAGCCCTTAGTTAAAGAGAGTTTCAATATGGGTGAATGATGACATATTACTTAAATACCGGCAGAATGCAAAAATCAACATTTAAAAAGTCAGTATTTTTTTTCTAAATACCAATAGTAAACTAGCTGAAAAAGAAGTCAGGAGAATAGTCCCATTCACAATAGCTTTAAAAAATACCTAGAGGTCAATCTAACCAAGAAGGTGAAAGACATCTACAATAAAAATTATAAAATACTGAAGAAAGTAATTGAACAAGACACTAAAATGTAGAAACATCTCTGATGCTCATGAATCAGCAGAATTAATATTATTTAAGTAGCCATACTACCAAAAACAACTACAGATTCAATTCACTCTCAATCAAAATTCCGATGATATACTTAGTGAAATTAAACAGTCATAAATTTCATATGGAAACAAAAAATCCAGATTAACCAAGAAAATCTTAATCAAAAGGAGTAAGGCTAAAGATATCACAATACCACTTTTCAAACTATAACACAAGGGCATAGTAACAAAAATAGTATGGTGCCAGCAGAAAAGTAAACACGTAGACCAATGGGATAGAATCAAAGACAAAGAAACAAACCCACAAACAAACAAACTCTAGCCATCTGAATCTTTTTTTTATTACTTAAATTCTTTTATTGGTACATTTTAGGTATACAACACAATTACATTTCTCATTGGGAACTTGTACCTTTACATAATGCATCTTGGTTCTTATTTTTGCCCCATTCCTAGCCCTCCCTTCATCTCCTCCACCCTTCCCTATTTACAAAGACTTTGTTTCTATTTTTTCCATTTCTCATCATTTTTCCTTTTCCTTCTTTCCTTTCCCCTGCCCCTCCCAATACCCCTACCCCTTTGGACCTTTTCTTCCTATTTTGCATTATCGCTTATTCATTCTAATCATTGGTACATTTTAGGTATACAATATAATGACATTCATCATTTGTGTTTTTTTCCTTTACATAGTCTCTCTTGGTTCTTATTTTTCACCCTTGCCCAGCCCTCCCTTCAACCCCTCCATCCCTCACTACTTACAAAGATTTTGTTTCCATTTTTCCATTTTCTCATATTAATTCCATTCCCTTCTTTCCTTTCCCCTACACCTCCCAGTTCCTTCCCCTTTGCCCCTTTTCTTCCTATTTCACATTATCTATTATACGTTTTAGTCCTTCTTTACACTTTCAGTTTCTCACACTAGAGAAACTATTCAGTATTTATACATGTGTGTCCTATTTATTTTTCTTAAGAGTATTGCCTCAATGTGCATCCATTTAGCTATAAATGTCTCTAATTTTTCATTTTTTATGTCTGAGTACTACTGAAGTAGCCATCTGAATCTTGACAAAAGAGTCTAAAATTTTAGAGAAAAGACCTTCTTTATCGGAAGATACAGAAGACTTAAACTAGATCCGTCTCTGCTCACCCTGAACAAAAATTAGTTCAAGGTGGATCAAACATTTAGGTATAACACCTGAAAAATTTAAACCTGCTAGAATAAAACATAGGGAAAACACTTGAAACCATGGGCACAAGGAGCCACTTCCTGAATAGGCCTCCAATAGCACAGGAAATAATAGCAAGAATCAACAAGTGGGACTACATGAAATAAAAGTGTTTCTGCACAGAAACAGAAAAACATCAACAGAGTAAAGAGACATGCTACAGAATGGGATAAAAGCTTTGCCAGCTACTTTTCAAACAAAGGATTAATATCTGGAATATATAATGAAATAAAAAACACCAAAAATCCAATAGTCCAATCAATAAATGGGCAAATGAATTGTAGAGACATTTCTCAATAGAAGAAGTATGAATGGCAAATAATTTTATGAAAAAAATGTTCAACATCTTTAACCATTATGGAAGTGAAAATCAAAACTTCATTGATATTCCATCTCATCCTGTCAGAATAGCTATCATAAAATATACAAGAAACAATAAATATTGGCTAGGATGTGGAGGTAGGGAGAGAAGCACTTCTACACTGCTAGTGGGAATGTAAATAAGTACAGCTACTGCAGAAATAAGTATGGATGTTCCTCACTAAATATAGAACTACCAGATATTCCAACCATACAACTCCTTAGTATTTACTCAAATGAATTAATGTCAGAATACTAGAGGGTACCTGCTTACTAAGATTTATTGTGGCACAATTTTCAAATGATGTGGAACCAGCTTCAGCGCCCATCAAGAGATGAATGGATCAAGAAAATTTGCTATCTATCTATCTAAACTGGAGTGTTATTCAGCCATAAAAGGGAATGATATGATGTAATTTGCAGGAAAATGGATGAAACTGGACATCATCATGTTAAGCAAAATAAGCCAGACATAGAAAAACACATATTTCATGTTTTCCCTAATATGTGTAATCTAAAATAGATGACATGAAAATAGAAGGGTGATTGTTATTATACAAAAGGAAAGTAATAAGGGGGAGGAGAGAAGGGGGCTTAAGGAAGAGTAATGGGCAGATGGAAACCATCAAAATATATACATGTATGAATATACCACTTTAAAATCCAATATTTTATAAAATTAATAGGCACTAATGGAAATATGTGTAAAATAAATAAATACTAGTAGCTTTAATTTTATTGTGATAGTCATAATCTCTAAAGGAGAAAAAAGTAATATTTCATTCCACAATTTGTCTGATTATATCTGATGTAACACAGACATTCAGTAGGAAATGGAGAAGCTGTATACAGCGAGTGTCAAGAAATATCTCTCTTTTGGATGGAACATAGTTACCTTCCTGATATAAAGGAAAGCAAATTAATAGAAGGAAAAATGTAATAGCTGAATGAAGGAAAATAATACTAACATATTTTATTGTGATATATACTAGGATCCTTGCTTTTTAGGTCCAAGTAAGCATCCAGACTCAAAGCTTAGGGTGGAGAACTGTGACTCCATTTCATTGTAAAGGATATGGTACAGAAGTCATTGCCTGGCCCTTGTCAGCAGATAGCATTCATTATGTAGTTTCTGGAACACTCTGCAGCAATCCACAGTGCTTTCCAGGGACTGTGCTGTTTGCCCCCTCACTTCACTTTGGCCCCGACACCCATGTGAGCACCTCAGGTGAGAAGAATCAAGACTGACATTGGGTGTGTGCAGAAGCTCTTCTGATTTTAAAGGAAGGGCGCACAGGTAATCGGGAAAAAAATAAGAACCAAGATATATCAAGTACAGGTACAAACACCCAATGATAAATGTAAACGAATTGTATACCTAAAATGTACCAATAAAATAACTAAAAATTTTTTTTTAAAAAGGTGGAAACAAAATAAATAAATAAAGGTTCCTATCTACCAGAACAAGTTTTTTTTTTTTTTTTTAACTCCAAAGCATAGCTCACAGGATCTCCACAAGGGACATGTTTCTACATAGGAGTTGATGAACATGGGCAAAAACAGTTTTATCGTTTTCAATCAGATATTTACAATTCTCTCAGTCCAAATGTAATCTACCAACAAAGGTTAATTTTTACCCTATCCAATATTTAGCAACATAGTTGACACATACCACCTTATCTAGTTATTAAGGAAACAGATCTAAAGGTTATAGAAAGGTCAAATTCTCCTGCAAAACTGGAAAAAGAGTGGTAACTCATAACCCACATCTGGTCTCATCCAGAAAAATGAAATGTACAATTAATTGAATTCATGATTTTTGATGTGAATATTTCATAATTTGCTACTGCTATTTATTTTTTCTAGAGCTAATGTACACAGTTGAACTTGCTGGAGGGCTTGGTGCTATTCTTTTACTGCTTGTTTGTCTGGTGACCATCTATAAGTGTTACAAGATAGAAATCATGCTCTTCTACAGGAATCATTTTGGAGCGGAGGAACTGGATGGAGGTAAGATGAGTTCCATTTTTTACTGTTGTTCGTGAATATTCTTATTTTTTATGTCATTGTTCATTGTAAGGAAAGAAATGTTACCTGCATAACTACTTCCAACAACTCTTTCAATGTGCAGCTTGTAAATTCATATTTTGCATGGATGTTTGTATGTTATGCTTTGAAGCCAATTGATATTTTCTTCTGAAAGTTGCAAAGCAACACCTACACTTTTTAAAATTGTATTCCAAACAGCACTTACAAATTACAAACACTGACTGCAATTCCATCAGAGTGTTCATTTTCTCTCACCTTGTAATCATTTCTGAAAGGCTAGCTTTACTGTTCTATAGGTAAGGAGTGTCTCTTTTAATTGTGTTCCTTAGCCCAGTAGTTTGAAGTGAATCTCAATTTGTTCTTGTTTAGACTGATCAGTTATAATAAACTGTATTGAATATTTTAGCATTTATTCCAACAGTCTCTTCAATCTTGTTTATTTAGCTATATTTCGACAGGATAATTTTTATTCTAAGTGTGGACCAACACATAAAAAGTGTACAAACTCATTGTTTTCATAATAATACATTTTTGCTCAAATTTCATGGGTAAATATTGTTTTCATGGAACTCATAATTATTCATTGCTTCTGGTCAGCCAAGAGTATGTGTACATTCTAAAAAGAATTTGAGATCATTGCATTTCAACTCCTTAAACTCCCCATTGAATACTTGAGGACTTATTTTTTTATATCATTTTCTTTTCAATCATTTGAAGAACATCAGATAAACTTGCAGTATAGGAAGCACATGCAATCTGTCAATGAGTAGTGAAGTGGTACAGATTTCTTGATGGTATTTTAAAGCTTTTTCTTCACTGTAAGTTTTGCAACAAATAGTACAAAAGAAATTGAATCAATTTGCCCATGTTGCTTCATTTCTATGGTTCTCTGGAATAAATGCATGGGAAGAACTGTAGGTTGTCAGACTAAGGAAGAGGAGTACTTTATTGGCATCACTAATATTCCTTTCCATTTAGCCTTCTTGCTTTCCCACTGAAGTTGAAGTCTGGGATACAGCAAAACTGTTGTTTGTTTAAAGTGATGTTTTCCCAATTGCTTTTAGTTTCTAACTTTCTTGTCTATCCATAAAATTATTACTTTTCTATGCTACTGCTTCAAGAAGTATCAAGAAGTATTAGCTTCAAGAAGATGTGAGAAAATTGTCAATGTCAAAGCTATCACAAGATGAGCATACCAAGCAGAGTGCTAGACATTCTAAAATCATTCTTGCTAAGCCTCACAAAAATTCTCGGGTCAATATTATAATCTCTGTTTTACTGATAAGGCAACTGAGGCTCCAGGAGGTTAAATAACTTACTTAAGAAGATAATATAAGAATTACTGTAAGTGGCCAAGGTGGGATTTAAAAATAGGTTTACTTCCAAATCCTTTATTTTGTAGAATACTGGGCCCCTGTGATTTTTCACCTTTAAAACTTTAGTATTTTCAGTTTCATGATCTGCTATTGTTTGTGCATTTAGCATAGTAGATGGTATTTGGAAAAGCAGATTTCCTAAGCAGGTCTTACTTTATCTATTAACCCTGTTTTGAATATGTTTATTTTGTGTTCTGAATGATTTTACTTAAACCATCAATTTTCAGTGTGTTGTATAATTTTCTAAATGCATAAAATAATGGAATATAATGAATAATGGAAAATATGAAAATTATGCAGCTGAACTGTCAGTGACTTGAAGTTTCTTTGGGGGATCCTATTAATTGTAAACACTTCAGTGCATTACTTGGATAAGCCTGATGGGTTTCATTGCTCTTCTGAAGCTGCTGGGTCTGCAGCTTTTCTAAAGTGTTTTAAATAAGAAAATAAAGCAAACAAAAACTAACAAATAATATTCTAACAGATGAGAAAGTTCTTTCAGAAAGCTATTTTAGTTAATAAGTGCCTTAAGGATTTATTAGAACTCTGTCCCTAGGGCCATCTTGAACACAATCAGGGATCTAGCTATTGGAGCTTTCCATGAGATGTTACTTTGAATGTATTAGGCCCAAAGAAAACCAAGATAATAAACTTAATTATCATTTGATAAGGTTAATCTATAAATAATTTCTTTTAAAAAGAAAGAAAAAGCAAAGGCTGCCACAGCAGTGGTTGTTCAAATGATTTTATGAGAAGGAATACTTTTTACAAATACAATCATATATATACCCTCCCTATATTAAAGAGTTCCCATTTCTGCTGAAATGCTGGCCAGTAGCCCACGCTTAAATCCTCTACCATCCTGCCTTTCACCTGACTCCTAGGACTTGCAAGTATGCTGTTTCCCGGAACTATACTACAGTAATGACGATACAGTAGCAAGTTTAAAATTCACATCTTAGGAAAAGTGATATGTATAAATTTAAACTTTCATTCTCTGGTATTCCAGAAACATCAAACTTGGCTTTCAAGTTCCCGCTTCTACTGATGGCAAAAAACAATCCTAACCTTGCTACTCCAAGTTAATTATTATTTCTAGTTTAGAATTTGGTTATTTTGGGGGAGTTATACCTGCTTTAAATTAAGATATTCAATATCCCTTCTCCTTCCCATCTTTCCCAAGGAACTTGTTTCTATGCACCTCACATAGAGCTTTGTGATGTAGGAGAAAAGCAGCTTGTGCCTTCCTGTCCTCACTTGAGCTACTACTACCTGGTGTCTGGACTCAACACTGGACAAGATCTTTGTCACGGCCTCTAAGCACAACCTTTGCAGATTTGTCCAGACTTTATTCCTTCCGGAAGTTCAAACATCCTTGCTTATATTTCTAGCACCATAAATGACTACACACATACCCACCTCAACCATTAAGAAATATAATCATCCCATCAAACAGTTATCTCTTTAACATTCAGATCTCACATTGTGTGCAAGATTTTTCTACAAAGCTTAGTTTTCAAAGATCTTCCCTGGAGAAAAGGACACAAATCCTTGCTCTTCACAAATTTTGTCACCAACCATAGGAGCCTCAGTTATACCCTTTACCCACTGGGCCCCTTAAAGCCCCTGATCAAAAATCCAGAAAGTCTCTTAACCTTTGTTACATCCTCTTAGATCCTTCTACAAATGCTAATGTAATCAAATAATGCTTTACTCAGAGATGTGGAAATGTTCTATGACATCATCAGGTTGTCATGCTCTCACACAAGTATTTTCTTCGTTCAAAGAAGAGATGACTGATTGGAGAAGACCCATGCTTTTCATATTCTTCTCTTGGCTCTAAAAATTTGTAATTTATAGGTCAAACTTGAGCCACACCTTCTTTATTCTTACTATTCTATATCCATATTACATCCTCTGAAAGGGAAATTAATAAAATACTATTTGAAGTAAGAAAAGGCAACAAATATGAAGAAGAACAGGGAAATAAACTTTGGTAAGTAGGGGCCGGTGATATAGCTCAGTGTTAGAATGCTTGCCAATCAAGTGTGAGGGCCTGTTTCAATCCCTAGCAACACACACACATACATTCAGTTAATATTTTGAAATGATGATCTTCCTTCTCTTTTAATGCAATAGAACCCAACTTTTTGGATCACAGTTACTATGACATCTTTAATTGCATTTATGAGCACATAATTCCTAAAATTAAAGGTCCTGTTTCCAGTTCTGTTGTTTTAGTAGACTTTTTTCTAGGTACTTATTATTTATTTCTATCAAGATAACCCCCCAAACCAGCTTTTATATCACCTGCCCCCCATAGTTATTCCTCATATCATTCACTTTATGGCTTGGTTTTTTGCAACATCCACTACCTCAATGGTCATATTTTTCCTTACTTGCTATTTCCAATTAGTCACCAAGGCCAGGCATTTGTACCTCTTGAAATCATACTTTTCCTTTAATTGCTATTGCCTTGTGTATGCTTGCCACTCCACCTTCATGCTTTCATTCTCTACCTCTCTACTTTATCATTCACACTGTAACAGAATTAACTTTCTAAGTACAAAATTATTCTAGTACTTTTTAGAAAATTCCCCCAACAATAAAAATGTCCCCATTGTGCCTGAAAAGAAATTTAGGCATCTTAGTTGACAGAGCATTTGCTGTCAAAGGGTGGCCCAACTTACTTTTGCAACATTTCTACTTGCATGAGATCTAAACATGCACAGTTCCAATCACAGTGAGATGTTGGGCTTTTGGACATTCAGAAGTAAGCTAAAACAATGTAATTATGCATAATTCTCAAGTTCTTTGACTAAATTAAGTAACCATAATAGAGTTAAGAGAAAGTTATCTACCCCCACCACATTGATTTCATAATGAAATGAAAGAAAACTTTTGCCACATATGTAATCCATCCCTGTAAACTGGAAGAAGTTCCAAATCTATTGTGTATGTGTGTACATGAGTGAACTTCCATGCATATATGTGTGTGTATGCGCTTGCTACCAAAAAATCTTCGTTAAGAAATTTCCCCTGAGACAAATGTGAGAATATTCCATTGGTAGGATTGAAATACTCATCTAATGGCGTCCTAAAATATGGTTCATCAGGACACGGACTTGTAGAATTAAGAGGAGAAGAGTGTCCCCAGAGTGGGAGACCACTGGCCCTGCTAGATTCTTGTAGGGATGGGTTATGTATCTAAATTATGTTGAATAATATGTCTTAAAGACTGTCTTCACCATGGAAAGACCATGTCAAAGATCATATACTTAGTAAAAAGGCACTAATTTTAACAATGAAATTTGATTTTGAATATATTTTGTGCTAATTGGTAAACCATCTACATTTGATCAGAAACATAGCTTTGGGCCGGGGATTTAGCTCAGTGGTTCTGCCACTTGCCTTGAAAGCACAAGGTCCCAAGTTTGATCCCACTCGCCCCCCCCAAAAAAAGTAAGTTTTAAAAAAAATGAAACATAGTTTAAATGGTCATAGAAGCTGCTCCTGGAGTTTTGTCTTATTTTAATTAAATACCAGCTGACCATCCTGATAAGAACAATCTACTGACACACTAGA